TGACATACTTTTTTCACCTGGTCAACCTTTACTTAATCTCTGAAACTCCTCTGCTTGGGAGAACTTCTAAGTAGTCCCTCATTATAACGAGTGCCCTCTGCACTGCCCTAGAAACCTGAGAAATTGGCTCCATCACAGATTTACCAGGCTGAACTGAATTTAATTATTTAAAGTCCTACTTTTCACCCTTTACTGCAATTTTTTTCTGCAAAGGACAGTATTATGTTTATCTTTTTGTTTCTAAGACATGGCAGATGACACTTGTGTGATAAATAGTTGGTTGGAATGAACAGAAAATCATAATTTAAAATATTTTTATTTTTAAATTTTTAACCTATTAGCAACAAAATTAGACAGAATTTGGTGTATACTATGAAAGAAGGCAGAATAATTTCAAATCTCCCCATTTCAGGGGCTCTTTAAAGTTACTGGAGTTTTGTATTACACGATCTCATTTTCTCATTCCATTTAAAAAATAAACAGAAAAAACTGTTTAAGAACTTAGGAAAACAACAGAAATAGACTTTTTTTTAAAGAACCTAGGGCATTCCAGGAATTGTTTTGGCTTCTGCAAACACAAGAAACCACCAAACCACAGCGATTTTTGCCCTTTTCCAGTGGGGAAGAGGTGAGGCAGACAACAGACTTCATATCGTCATTGCGGGCACAAAATACCATGCCCCATGGTGGTAAGTGCAGGAGATATAAAGGGTGTGGACGTATGGAGAGGCTGTTGTAATATAGTTGTAAATAGTTTGCTGGAAAAGACTTTGCAAAGAAGAGCTAGGGGCCAGAGGAAATGAACCCATGGACAAATGGGAGGAGGAGTCATTCACGCTGAGAGAGGAAAGTCAGGGTCAAAGGTCTGAAGGTAGCTTCTGGGCTCAGGGATGAGAGGAGATGGTGTGAGGGCTGGAGGGGGCAGGACATAATGTTACCCTGAAGAGGTGGACCTTAGGTAGTGTCCTGTGGCTGCTGGTAAATGGTGCTGGTCTCCATCGGCTGTTGCAATAATTTTGACTTTGACTTTGAGTCAGATGGGAAACCCAGGAGAGCCCCGAAGTATGTTTCCCATGTTACTAGGATCATTCCGTCCCCTGCATAGAGAAGGAACTGAAGGTGCATTTGCAGAAGTTTAACTACAAGAGGTGTGGATCCCTGGGGCCAGACTGGGACCCAAGAGCTGGTGTGGTTCTGGATGTCACTAAGGAAAACAGGGAATTGTTGGTTTCTGAATCTGTTTCTAGGGGAGAGCTCAGCTCAGAAAGGAGGCAGCAAGGCTGGCTCCAGGGGTGTTTGACCAGAACACCTGCAAGCCCGGCTATAAGACACTGAGAATTTTTGATCCAGGGGCTCTTGAAGTGAATGTTAGACAGCTGTGAATGAAATTCCCACAGAGGGTCCCTGATGGAGGGATGACAGCTGGAGATGAGGTTAGAGAGAAGAGGAGGTGATGCCAAGGGGTCTGTCATCTACAGGTGACCTGAGCAAAGAGGAGGAGTAGATCCTATGAGACTCAGGGGGAGGGCATGAGGGAGAGGAGGAACAGGGCACAGATACCTGTGAGGAGAGGGAGCCTCCTACCGCAGCTCCGCTGTGAGAGGCAAGAGAGAAGTGTGACACAGGGGTGTGGGGTTGTGCTCTGGGGGGTGGTCAGAGGGGACCACTCCCACTTACTGGTTGTGGTACAGCCCGCTTGGCAAACTTCCAGGCCCTGACTAGCTTCAGGTAGTGGCTCTTTGAAAACTTTCTCTGTTTCCTCTATGAGGTTGATCTCTCTGATTTCTGCCTCTTTGGGATCAATAATGACAAACTGTATCTTCTGGAAATATGACCCATTTCCAGGTTTTCAAATTTTGCATATATGAAGCATAGTTGTCCCTAATGATTCTTCATTTCCTGTTTCTGTATTATTTCCTTAGAATTTATTATTGTACTTTCTCCCTTTTTTTGATTAAGTGAGCTGGTGGTTTATCCATGTAATTATGTTTTTATTTTTACTTCTTTTTTTCACAGAACCAAATTTAGATTTGCTTGCTGGTTGTAGAGATGGTGAGCACGTATTCACACTTGCCATCACACTTGTTATTTCTTCCTTGCGTTTCTTTGTGGTTTTTGTTTGCTTCTTTTATGAAGTATCAGAACAACTACATAAAGTCTTCATAAAAGTTTCTCAAAAAAAGAAGCACAGACTCCTTTCACTAAATAAAATAAAAAGCACAATCTAGCAGTTTAATTCAAGATGAAAACATCACCATCTAGTGGGATTCATACCAAGAATGAAAAATAGATTTATTTAGGAATTATATTAAGTCAATCATTATATGATTAGCTGAAGAATGGAGTCATTACTGTCTTCATAGATGATGGGTATGTATTTTCTTATTTTAAAAGCCAATAAAATAGGAATAAACATTTTCCTGGCATAATTTTAAAAAAATGTTTTTTTTTTTAACATGAACCGATATAAATGGGAAATCAGAGAGATGTTCTCACACGAGTTAAAAACTAGGTAAGTATTTTTATTGAGACAATTAGCAAATGAATTAAGGGAAAAAATGTAAAGAAGGACATACAATTTTTACTATTTATAAAATATATTCCTGGATAACACTAGAAAATTGATGGGAAAACTACGAAAATACAAGAGAATTAAATTTTAAAAAGTGGGTTAAAATTAATAAAATCCACATATATAACATCCTTGTATACTGTTATGTATAATAACAACAAAAGCTACAGAAACCAACCAACAGAGAAAGGGACAGGACTCATATAAAGACAATATTTAAAAAATAAAAACTCCTACAGGACACAAAAGACAGCACGGTCAAATAGACAGAAAGTTCTTGGATAGAAAGATTAGACATCAAAAAACTCAATTTAATTCCAAGGAATTAATTTATAAATGTAATGTTTCTAATAAAAATACAGTTTATTTTTTTAAATTTTATATTTATTTCTAAGAGAGAGAGCGAGACAATGTGAGCAGAAGAGGGTCAGAGAGAGAGGGAGACACAGAATCTGAAACAGGCTCCAGTCTCTGAGCTGTCAGCACAGAGCCCGATGTGGGGCTCAAACCCACGAACCGCAAGATCATGACCCGAGCCAAAGTCAGACGCTTAACTGACTGAGCCACCCAGATGCCCCACAAAAATGTAGTTTAAACGCCTCACTTAACTAGTTTAAATATTGTCAAAAACTTAACAGAAAAAGTAACTGAGACACTTTTAGGGGAAAAAAATCATAGAGATAGCACCATAATATGAAGCACAGTTTAAAACATTCATAATTGGGGCACCTGGGTGGCTCAGTCAGCTAAGCCTTTGACTTTGGATCAGGTCATGATCTTATGGTTTGTGGGTTCAAACCCCATGTCAGGCTCTGTGCTGACAGCTCCGAGCCTGGAGCCTGCTTCCAATTCTGTGTTTCCCTCTCTCTCTGCCCCTATCTCACTCATGCTCTGTCTCTCTTTCTCTATAAAATAAGTAAACATTAACAACAACAAAAAAATGAAAATAAATATTAACAATTAAAACTGTGACAATAGCTCATGAAAAGAATTTGATGGGATAGAAGAGAATGTTTCAAGTCAACTTCAAATAAATGAGAAAATGTATGAAATAATAAATGTACCATCTCAAATTGGTGGGAAAAAGGTGAAGTATCTAACATACTGCATGTAGAAAATGGCAGAGTAGCCTAAAAATATTATTGCTAATTGTCACCAACTACATACCCTAGGATAAATCTCAAATGCAACAATGATTTAACCTTAAGCATGGATTTATAAAGAAATTAATAGAAAATATAAAATAATTGTAAGCTGGGGTTGACACGAAAAAGTTACAGAAAAAGTAAAAGAAATGGCTTGTATGTAAGCATCGGAAACAAACTCAAACTTACTCATGATCAAATGGATAAAAAAAAATAGGTGTTAGTTTTATCTATCAGATTAGCAAAAATCCATGTTTGATACGACACATAGCTGTGGAGACTGTAGACTTATCCACTTTCAGACCTGACAGTTGGAACTGCAAATTGTCATGAGCCCTATGGAATACAATTTGGCACTATGACTAAAACTTACAATTGCATATGCCATTTGGTAAGTAGGAATTCACTGCACTGATATATCTGCACATATTCAAAATGACACATGTTCAGTGTCATTTATTTCTTCACTGTTAGTAAAAGATCGACTGGAATTTAATAAAAGTCCATCAATAGTGCGTTTCTAACGCTGTATTACATACATATGAAAGAATATTACATTGCTGTGCAAATAGTTTTGAAGGAATTATTCATCATCCATATTAAAAGAACCCAGAATATGTGGTAAGCAGGGGAATGCCCCAGAAGGTGTAGGAATGAATTGCTATTCATTCCTTTTTTAAAAAAATGCTTACTGGAAATCTGAAAAGGAGCAAGGAATTAATAAAAAAAGGTATCTCAGGTCAGGGACTACACAATTCTACAGTAAATCCTATAGATGGAATATGTAGAGAACATATATTTGTACATATGCATATATAGAATTTGTATATACACATATAGAATATATACATATACCCATATGTGTATATATATATATATTTTTAAATAATTACCCAGACGCTGAGAGGTAGTTTCAAACCCCAGATATTTCATGTCACTGCTATGTCTGTGACATCTTACTATCAACAATAAATTGCCTGTCAACAATAAATTGGCTACATGGTTCTGATATTTCCCAGTCCTGCCCCCGCGCGAAGAACAGACACCTGCTTCCCTCACATCTGTGAAATCAGTTACTCATTTTGTGGTTTAAACTTGTCTTTCTCCTCCTTTCCCCAAAACATAACCACATAAGAATGTGCAGTTTCTGAGAATCCTGTCCATCTCATTTGCTGATCTAATGTGTAGGTTTGTAGAATGACAGAATGCTTGTTTGGCTTCCCTCATGTACCAGCGGGTAACTGGCCGTGCGCAGAAGGCAAAATGCCTATGCTCTGAATTACCTTCTCTCCGCAGGAGGCGCGTTATCTGCAGCCTGGACTGTGAGCGCATAGGTGCGCCCCACTGTCAGCACCACCCCTTCAGCGATGGTGATGAGCCCTGTGGTTCGGTTGATGGTGAAGTCTCCCTGAGCCCCAACCAGGATTTCGTAGGTGATCTCCCCATTGGACCCTTCATCTGCATCCACCGCAGTGAGCTAGAACGGAAGATCACAGCATCAGTCCTCTGGGGGCTCAACATTCTGCCACTCTGAGTTAGCATACAAAATCTATAAAGAACTTATCAAACTTAACACCCAAAAGACAAACAATCCAGTAAAGAAATGGGCAGAATGAATGACATTTTTCCAAAGAAGACATCCAGACACATGAAAAGATTCTCAACATACTCATCATCAAAGAAATACAAATCAAAATCACAATGAGATACTACATCACATCTCTCAGAATAGCTAAAATTAACAACTCAGGATACAGCACAAGTTGGTCAGGATATGGAAAAAGGGGAACCCTCTTGCACTGCTGGTGGGAATACAAACTGGTGCTGTCACTCTGGAAAACAGTACGGAGGTTTCTCAAAAAATTAAAACTAGAGCTACACTAGGACCCAGCAATTGTACTACCAGGTATTTAATGAAAGGATACAAAAATGCTGATTTGAAGGGGCACATCACCCCAATGCTTACAGCAGTGCTATCAACAATAACCAAACCATGGACAGAGCTCAAATGTCCATCATATACATATATATATGAATGAGTATTACTTAGTGATTGTAAAGAATGAAATCTTGTCATTTGCAATGATGTAGATGGACCTAGAGTGTGTTATTCCAGGTGGAAAAAGTCAATCAGAGAAAGACAAATACTGTATGATTTCATTCATATGTAGAATTTAAGAAACAAAATAGATGAACATATGGGAAGTGAGGTAAGAAACAGAGAAGAGAGGAAAGTAAACCACAAGAGACCCTTAATGATGGAGAATAAACTATGGGTGACAGATGGAGATGGGGGAATGGGCTAGGTGGGGAATGGGTACCATGGAAGGTGCTTGTTAGGATGAGCACTGGGTGAATCACTGGGTTCTACTCCTGAAACCAATACTACACTGTATGTTAACCAACAAAAATTTAAATTTTAAAAAATCTTTCTTGTAATAAACCCAAATAAACAAATAAAATAACATTAAAAATTAAAGTAGGTAAAGAAAGATTTCTCAGCACATTCACTCTTGCTGTCTTGAGCCACTGCTATGGTGCTCGAATTCGGAAGCAATCACAGCAAGAAGGATTTTTTTTTCTTATGAAAGTGATAAAAGTTTTGGATCTTGAAGGGTATCTTTATTTTAATTTACTATAGGAAAGAAAAAGAAAGCTCTGACAGCAAATGTAATATCACTACAGGAAATTTAACTTTTTCCTCTACATTCTCTCCTGTTCTGGACACATAAACACGTATTACTGCCCAGTGACACTGGAGAAAACGAAGTGGGTGAAGTTGGCCTTTGTTACTCCCTTCCTTCCCTTTGCTTTTATTTTTTTCCATTCGTAAGTTGTTCCTTCCACCTCTCAGATGGTCTCTTATCCCTGTACCCTCTGTATTTACATTTCCTTTGACAAAAGGTCTTTAAATGTTGTGCACACCGATTTGTGAAAGACTGCAAAGCTCTAGGGTGTTACTTTTGCAAACTCACAGAAATGCATCTGCAATTGTAGCAAATCTTATTAAAAATTAGACTATGAAGCACAGGAAATAATTTTTGAGAAGAGGGATTGAATTCAGAGGCTCTGAAATAACACCAGACCATTTATCAAAGGCTAATTTGCACGTGGTTACAGTCATTTTTGAAGCAACTTGTATCCAATAGTTAAAGCTATACTTGGGTTATTATGTTTGAAAACAGATAATAATTTAATTAATCAAGCAAAATTAAGATAAGAATGATCTAATGTGTTAAATAAGGCTCCTTGACTTGCTGATGAATATAAATTTACCTTGGTGGGGAATGGGGGCATGGAGAAAAAATAGATTCTAGTGGGAAATCTTATAAAATGCATTTTACAAACATACACAGAATTTTTAAATTTTCATCATTCCAAAACTGATGGATGGAGATAAGAGAGTTGACCACACATAGTTTACACATAAGGAGAAAACAATAAAAACTCCTTGTTGAGGTCTCAGTTTCATGGTTCGCGAGAATGAGCCCCGTATCAGGCTGCGCTGATAGGACAGAGTCTACTTGGGATTCTCTATCCCCATCTCTCTGCCCCTCCCCTACTCATGCTCACTCTTCTCTCTCAACATAAATAACTAAACTTAAAAAAAAAAAAAAAAAGAAAATTTAAGCTTAAAAAAGTTTCCTGTTGAATAAAGAAAAAGTATATAATTGTATTAAATAAAACTATAGAAACATTTTTGCGACATTTTTATATCTATTTCTAGCCCCTAATTTTCAATTCTATAAAAGTAGTTCTTTATCATCTACAGGTTCCTTTGGGCGACCACTGCACAGTGGTGCACCTTGTTTGATCCAAAGTGAGGGTGCACATTTATCTCGAAATGTAAATTCAGTTTTAAGAACACTGTGTTAATTAGTGCCCATTCAATTCACCTGATAAAATCTAAACAAAGTACTTTACACACACCATCATGCTTAAGGGGAAATGCTGTCCATACTATGTTTCTACTGTCAGTATCCACTGCATTTAGAACGATAATGTGAATAGAAGCAGAAGCTCCAAAAATAATTGAGAGGAAAGAAGGGAATTTGAGAGTTGGCATTCAGTTAGCTGAGATTTGGGGGTGGACAGATGTGGCTGCCAGAAGGTAAAGCATTTCATAAAATCATTCAGGGACTTGCAGACAGGATGACTGGCATGGTCCTAAAGGCTAAGTAGAAGGAAACTATTTGCAGAAACAGAACAGATGAGTGATGTGTATTTATAGAGAACTATTCAAGCCGGACCAACTCAGTTCTCTTTCACATGTGTGTAAAATTAGAAAATTAGAGGGTGTGGGAAGCAGAGGAGATATCAATTTCATTATAGTAAACCACTTACTGTAATGTCTCAGGAAAGCTTAATTAAAATTTAGCTCAAACTGGATTCAATACTAACATTTTTCCTGGGACTTAAATTGGCCAAAGGAATTTGATGCTAAATGGCATGGCATCAAGTTAAGACCTGTTGCGGGGTATGCTTGGGGGGGCATAGGTATTGTGGTTGGTCTTATTTAACATTTTCATGAATGATGTTGGAAAGGAGGATAAACTGAATCATAATTAAATTGAGGAAGGCACCCATCTGGGAGGTGCTATAAATACCAAATAGTACCGCAACGCACAGACGAGAGAAACAGTCCCCAAATGGCACAGCAGGCCAACCACGGATGAGGTGAGATATTCAGGGAACGTCACTAGCTCCACAGAAACCATCAGGAAGCAGAGAGTTTAACAAATAAGCCAAAAATCAGTTCCACATGTAAGTGACTTATGTAGCTTGATACTCCTTTTCAGTCTTTTAGAACTAAATCTTACCACCGTGGGCTAAAAGTCAACATAACTGAGTCAAACAAAACCAATGTGAACAGATTATTGATGGTTCAAGATTTGAAAAGAGAATGGAGAAATTATTGGTGGTCCAAGATTTGAAAAGGGAACAGAGACAGCGACTGAATATCCAAAAAATGGTAATGCCCCCTGCACAAGAGCTCTGCAACTCAACTCTGGTGGGGATTTCATTCAGTCACGCCCCTACGACTGCAATCAGTGGTCTCTGAGATGAAGCTATTGAAGGTGTTCCCAAAGCAGAGGGGGAATCCACCTCTTAAAGAGAATGGAGGAGGGGCTGACTTAAGCGAGAAGCCAAAGTGTCGCTTGCAAGTTATCACAAAGTCAAATAAAATCTAGGATTTGTAACCATTTTACTGAAATGTTAGGATACTGAAATGGTCAGACCTCGTATGTCGTGTGTCTACAGATCTTTTCTGCAGTGTGCCAGAGTCTTCTTCATGAAGTGTGACCCTGCCCCTCCCCGTTCCTCCCCCTTGCTATTCCCCTATTTATGTGTTCCAGACAGACGCAGCCACCCCTTGCTGCCACAAGAAATAAAGATAAAGATGAATAAAAAAATACAACATTCTGATTTGTCCTGCTATTCCTGTCTAGGTCTGGCTGTGGTTTATTTTTCTCTTCAATATCTTTCCTGTGCTTGAGAAATGGAAAAGTATGGTTTTATGTAAAAATACAAATATAAAGAATGCTGGATCATAAACTGAATAAAACCTTAGATAGGAGTCTCATAAACGAAGCAAGGATTAATTAAAAGTGAGCAGAGTGGGTGGAAAAGTATTAACAGAAGACAATAAGGTAGGGGATTTTTGTTAAACCAACTTAACAGGAATTTTGTGGAAGGCAGGCCAGGGTGATCAGGTACCAGGGTAGGTGATGAGGAATTTGGAGAGATCCAGAGGGTAGGGGGCTGTCTATCAACTAGTGCAGCAGGATTTTTGCTGAAACTGGGCTGGGCAGGCCAAAGACAAGACCCAAACATGAGGCATAATGGAAAAAGGTGGCTCACCACAGGTGAACTAAAGTTTGCTCAAGGAGAGAGCTTTTGTCAAGAACTAAGAGGTCCATGGATCTGAAGAGTAGACACAAACAAGAAGTGCACTTAGACACATCACCCCCAAATTGCTGAAATGCAAAGAAAAACTTAAGAGCAGAAAAAATAAGGACTCATTTTATAAAAGGAAACAATGTATCATTCACGGCTGACTTCTCATTACAAATAATAGAGGTCAGTAAGCATAGGAATGACATATTCAAAGGACTGGGATGAAAAACGACCAGCACCTGTCAGCAACGTATAATATATCTGGTGAGACAATCCTTCAAACTGAAGGCAAAGTAAAGACATTCAATCATTTATATAATACATCATATTAATGAAACAAAGGATGGAACCACATGATAATCTCTATAAATACAGAAAAAAAAATAGTTAAAACTGGATGTCCATTTATGAAAAAAGAGATTCAACAAACTAGAAATAGAAGGAAACTTCATCAGGGGCGCCTGGGTGGCTTAGTCGGTTGAGCGTCCGACTTTCGCTTACGTCATGATCTCGCGGTTCGTGGGTTCGAGCCCCGCGTCGGGCTCTGTGCTGACTGCCAGCTCAGAGCCTGGAGCCTGT